TTATTTTTATTTCTTACTTCATACTGCTCTTTCGGTTGACATGAATAATTTATGAATGAAATGCGCATTGCACCGAAAATGTGCGGCTGCTGACGACTGCACAGCTCACAAATAACCACAGATATGAATATTTTGCAAGCTAAGGTATTTGAAGGCTTCTCAATATTTTTTAACACCAGCTAGTTGGTTTTTAAGCATTCAAAGCAATTGATAATTGTTGTTGTATTGGCGATGGTAAAGCGCTTGGAGGTCGATGCTTCTTGATCGCAGCATAGCTTAAAAATGGTTTTTCTTTGTATAGCATTTGAAGATTTACAACTTTGTTGTCATTTTAAGTATTGCGACAGAGTGACAAATTTCGGACAATACTCGTATGGCCATTGTGTGTTTGCTTTTGTGCGAGTGAATATCGGTATGTGTGTGTATGATGCAATTGCGCAATACTTTTGACATTTGGCATTCAGCGTAATTTCGTTGGGTGCATAACTGAAGACGATTCACCAGAGAATACGCTTAAGTATACAAGGCAATATAGTGGTGGTATATGTAGTTATAATATTAAGAATTTTAGTTAAATTCACTCTCATTGTTTGATTTTTTGTTCATATTTCTCCCCTTTATATGGATATTTGATCCACTTTCTCAGATGCTGTATGGCTAATTGATTTTAAGATACACTTTCAGTGGGTACAAATATACACTGAGGTTTAGCCCAAACGCACGAAGGACGCCTGCCATACAATAAAATTTATTCTATTCTTTTAGATTCAGTCTCGTATAATATAAAAAGTTCATACGGAAATGGAAATAGCAACTGTAAATGGAACTGAGTTCTGTAGATGTGAATTATTTATCAAAAAATATCTTAGCGAACTAAACACTATTCATTTAAAATATTTGCTCAATGAAACATTATTAATTATAATTAAGGATTTCGATGTTATTGATATCTGCTGGCTGTATTGTTTACCCCGAAAATGTTATTCCAAAATCATAATGAACCGTTTTACGATTTTGTCTAAGCATATGTTGAGCAACATGTTGCAACAAATAACTTTACTTGCAACATTCCACGCAACGAGAGCGGCAGTAAACTAATGCATATTTTGAGACTTGTTGTTGTTATGGCTGGTGGTCGTTGCCGTGAGTCATATAACGTTGCACGACAATTAACGCAAATTACGCCATCGACACATTGGGTGATTGGTTGGCAATTGAGACGCATAAATGGAAGTTGCAACTTGCAACAATAGTGGATAACAATTTGGTTGATGTGTTGCGCTTTGTTTTGTCTTCACTTCCTTTGTCGTTGCGTTAATAGTTGGTGTGTTGTGTGGGCCATATGCTATAATGACGTGTTGCGCTGTGTGCTATCCGATACGGATTTTACAAGCCGTCACATTAGTCATTGTTACATTTATTTAGATGACTTATGTATAGATCACAAAATGTTGAAATATAAGTAAAGTGTTACCAAAATTAATTTTGGAAGTTTAGCGCGATGCTTTAGATTTTGTCGTTTCATGGAATTCTTTGAAACACAGCGCATGCAGCCCTCTTTTACATTTTGAGCGCTGGTAGATCGACTGACCTGAGCATCGCTCTAATGCACAACACCTTCTTTTAGCTCCTTTCCCAATACTGTCCAAAGCGTCGTTTCGAATGGTGACTGGCATACGTAGGGCGACTTGTATTTTACTTTTTGATGAGTGAAGTCAAGCACTCTGTCACGAAAATGCGAAAGTCTTTTTGGGTCATCTGGCTTTCCATGGCGGCATTCAGTGAATTAGTAATAAGCGGCCAATACCACTTTTATACATTGTCGAAGAAGTCAAATCCTCCCATAGTGCAATTGTACTTTTGGATCATATTTGCAATGTTAATTTGAATATTTTTGCGAAGTTTCCTATTTTATCGTTTTATTTTGCTAATCAAAGTATGTGAGAGATGATTTAATAGCATTCAAACTATTGAATTATCAGTTCTGACAACTTGATTGATCCATTTAGTCTTTTGTGGAACAAAAATTTACTGTTCCTGGAAAGTACTTATTGTTTTCAATCTATTTGAAGCACTAGCAATATATGTATATCATTATTAATATATATTGTTTTTTCTTACTCATTCTCTTTGTTCCGAACTCTTATTTCTGCTCCTTTTTGATGGTCTTCATTAGGAGTACACCGCTGCATGTCTTGGGTTTCATCATCATTTATGTCACTTACTTTGAGGATATCTAAAGAAGACATAATTCACATATGCTAATAGAAATAAGATTTAATTTATAAATAAACGATTCTTCACCATTTAACATTTTAAAAAGATCTAGATCTAACAATGTGAGTGACTTCGATAAGCGTGGGATCAATAAAACAACTAATATCACTATTATTATTCAACAGTATGAACATATAATGTCTGATACCTTGATAGGAAGAGTGTCTCACTCATATCTGATGATGGAAGGAAGCCGAGGAATCGCAGTAATCGGTATACGACCAAAATACAATACTAAACTTTCACTTGTGCTCGCCGAGGCATGCAACATCTAACCACTCCTTATACTGTCGGTTATTTTGAGCTTCCGAAAGATCTTGGGAACATCAAAGAACGATTTATTCCAAAAAAATCTGAAACACTACTTATATTTAAATACTGATATTGTTGTTTTGAAACAAAAGATTTTAAGGCAGGTTTAAGTTTGTGGATTCCTGTTGGAATGAGAAGAGAAACCTGCCTACTTCTTAATTGAATAGTTGTGTTTTTCGGAAAAGTGTAGTAACCAGTAAGAATCATCACCTTATCAAAAATATTCACATATCTTTAGCTGAAATAAATCATCAATTCATCTAGTTACTAAAATGGTTGCTATCAAACCGTTATACAACAAAAATTAATAAAATTGCAAGTACTCCTTACTTATTCTGGCAGTGAAACCTTTAAAGATTTATTGCAACAAATAAATCCTCTTCACCGAACTATTGACCCAATGAACAGCAAAAACAGCTATGTGAAGAATTCTACTTCTACCGAAAAAACAGGAATATAAGAATTTAAGCACGTTGTATATGAAGACTCTTTAGCGCGATGAATAAACGCTGATTCGTGGGGCAGGTACAACTGCATTAAACAAAAGTAACCAAATGCGATTCTACGAGTACATATGTACGAGTTCGTATGCGCTTTGGCGTGTCGCTGATCAAAATGATAGCGCTGATAAATTGCGCGCTTAGTGGTGTTGAAGAGGTAAATGAATACACTGGCATTACTTAGGATATTTATTTACGTGCTCACCGATCGCAAAAACAAGTGTGTTGGTAGCGTGACTACCTAAAAGCGAGTTATGGGTTCAAACCATGCGCTTGCGCTTACGATACCTCTTGGTGCTACTTATCGGAAAAGTACGCCCAAATACCCGCTATTGTGCGAGTAGCATATTTATGTATGTTTGTATATATGTTTGTTTGCTTCAGCGCATTTACCGTAAAAATATTATGAAATGCGAGAAAATAGTAAATCTAGTAGGTGTTACATCGCTTTCTCATTGATTTTAATTTACTGATAATGTTGAAGAAAAATGCCGCTAGTTATTAATTTGTTGCTGGTTTGTACCTTATTCCTTTTATTGATGAAAATTGAATGATACGAACGCTGTGGAGTGGGATGAACAGCACAAGTTGCTCAAGTGGTAATCATTACGGCAAGCAAATGTGGAAAAATTAATCAGCAAAAATTAAATTTTAAACTCCAATTTGCGTACACCTTCCCTAATCATTTAACTAATTTCTTCAAAAGTTAAATCCGTAAACACTTTATAAGCCAAAATACCTCATGCACTACCTCTTTAAAATCCCCTCGGGGCACTAACTATTTTCGTTACGTTCAAAGCCGCATAATTGAGTGAAATTTATGTGCATTTGCCTCCATCTGAAAAATTTACCGAAATAACCGAATACCAAGACATGAGTATTTTCTATGCCACTTTCACTGGCATTAGACGTTTGTTCACCTATCTCATTCAAAATAAGGAATTATGCGCATATTTTACAATATTATTTTCTCCTTTTAGCGTATTTAATCAATTTCATTTTTCTTTTTCTGAGTAATCAAAATTCAAATTATTTCGTCATAAAGTGAAAGCAGGAAAACGAATAAACAAAAAATACATATTCAACTTTCATATAACCAGCTGTCAGCTGCTCACGCACAAATCGATATTGTCATTTGCAACACGTTGCTTTATCCATTTCTTTTACTCATTTTCATGGTTGGCAAGAATCCCCCACTGAACCCTCCCCGAGGGTGCCGACTGGAAATAGATACCACAGATTCACGACACAAGCGGGGACGGGCTGGTAACAGTCCGCCCTGGCCGTAGACGTGAGGAATCTAGCTAAGGTCAGACTTCTTATCGGTGTGTTCGATGTTCCTCAATAGCACAGCATACAGATAAGGAGCCTTACCATGGTCGGGGGTAAAGGGCTGGATCAAGGTGTCATGCGACCCGTGCCGAGGATCAACCTGGCTGGGGGCCCTTAAATAGCCCAGTCTCGAACGGAGCTTACGGATACCTGGCGCCCTCCGTAATAAGATAGCCTTGCTTGCGCAACGGGGGCTATGCGCAAGTCGACATACGTTCCCCCACACTCGTGGGACCAAAAATGAACCAAAATAAAAATAAAGAAACGAAAACAAAAAATCGGAGAGAGCCCGGATCTCCAAGAAAAAAGCCGGAGGGAGCGAGTTGCACCCACAAAAGAGCAGCGTTTGGAGCGAGCTCAACTAACACGAAGAGGACAGGAGCGAAGCTTGGTCCAGAAGACAAGGCAAGCACTAGTAAAGGGGCAGAAGCTAAAGCTGGCCCACAGAAAGTGGTAGCGCTGGAGGCAGCCAAACTCAAACCCTGCGGCCAAAACACGGCTGAAAAGCAGGGGGAGAGAGGAGATGCCAAAAGGTCTACCGCCGGAAGTGCATCTGCCAGGGAGTGGCCTGCATTTAGCATGCAGGACCCGTCAAAGGCAAAATATGCGGAGAGACGACGCGCCGCATACTTACTAAGGTTGGTAGAGCTAAAGCCGCCAACGAAAGAGGAGCTAACGAAGGAGCTCCAAGCATCAATTGACTGCGCGAGAGCAGTCATATCCAACTTTAAGTTGGAGCCGCCGGTAAAGGCAGCCAAGCGACAGAGGTCAGCTGAAGAGGCAAAGCCGTCAGCTAAGAGACCGAAGACCAAGGGTGTAACGCCCGCAAAATCATTTGCAGAAGTGGCCCGGAACCGAATAGTCATTGGCGTTCTGGATGAGGGAGATCCCGAAGGAAGAATCCCCAGAGCCCAATGGAAATGGGTGCAGGCTGCGCTGACAAATGTGGCGCTGGAAGTGCTATTAAGCAATCCGGGTCCGCCACCGTCATGCGCAGATGCCGGCTGGTACCAGGGCCAGATCAAAATGATTGCGTGCGACGACGAAAGATCGGTCGCACTATACAAAGCTGCTATAGCCAAGGTGGGAGAGGTATACCCCGGGGCAAAATTGGTAGCAGTGGACAAGAAGGACATACCATCCAGACCAAGGGCAAGGGTATGGATTCCGGCTACACCAACTCAGCCGGACCAAATTATGCAGCTCATAAGAGCCTGCAACCCGAGCCTACCCACTGAAGGGTGGAGGTATGTCAAGACATTTGAGGACAGCGTAGCGGAATCTGGCGTGGAGACCAAAAGGGCCACGATGCAGATTCTGCTGCTTTTAACGAAAGAATCCATCGAACCGCTGGCGAAGAGTGGCGGGGAGATAAATTACGGGTTCACGAAAGTAAGGATAACGCCTTACAAGTCGGACGCCGATGCTGCAGACCATCTGGCATCGGGGAAAGAGATATGCGAAGTAGAGGAAGATCCCATGGAGTCCTCGAGCGACGCGGAAAGCATGGAGCAAGGTGAGTGTTCTTCTTCCGAGTCTGAGCTTGCGGCCAGACTCTCAAGCTTGTATACTGAGAAAGAGCTTTTAAGCGACTCTCAGGAAGACGCAGATATAACAATTGTTAATGCGTCTTCTACAAATTAATCTCCATCATAGCAAACTAGCTTCAGCAGCCCTAATTAACCGCGTGGCAATGGACCAGCCTGAATTCGTCCTCATTCAGGAGCCATGGGTTAATGGGGGGCGTATTTGCGGACTGAGGGCGCCGAACTATAAGTTGCTGATGGCTAACTGTGAAGGTAAAATCAGAGCCTGCATAATGGCAAAGAAAAACCTTAATGTTTTTATTTTACATAATTACAGCAACAACGACACAGCAACAGTAAGCTGGGAAACGGGCTCAAGCAGTTACCGGCTAGTGTCGTGTTATATGCCGTATGAGCAGGAGCTGGTGCCACCTCTGATAGTAAAAGAGGTGGTACGGGATAGCGAGGCATCCAAGTGCATGACGATACTTGGATGCGACTCAAATGCGCATCACACAATCTGGGGCAGCACAGATGTAAACGAGAGTGGTGAGTGTCTCTTTAACTACCTACTAGGTACTAAGTTACTGGTGTGCAATAAGGGAAGCACGCCAACATTTATTACAAGAAACCGACAAGAAGTGCTGGATATCACACTTGTGTCGGAAGAACTAATTGACAGGGTAACCCAATGGAGGGTTCTCGAAGAACATTCCTTTTCGGATCACCGATATATCGAATGTACAATAGAGGAAAGGGCCGATAAAGGCATTAACTTCAGGAATCATAGGAGAACGAACTGGCAGGTGCACATGCAAGAGCTAGAGAAACGTATCCCTATGATTCTACCGTTTCAGCCCAATAGCAAGGAGGATCTAGATATCCTCGTTAATCGACTCACGGAATCGTGCCGGCAAGCACTAGAAGTGGCTTGTCCAATAACACGAAGCAGGGGTAGAATAAGGCCCCCCTGGTGGTCTCTAGAACTTAAAAAGCTACAGAAAGAATGCAGAAAGCAGTTCAATTTAGCAAAGCACTCCCAAGACGAGTCAGACTGGGATTATTATTACAACCTCCTTAGGTCATACAAAAAGGAAGTTAGGAAAGCAAAAAGAAATTCATGGAAATCGTTTTGCAATGATATCGAGAACACGGCGGAAGCGTCTCGACTTAGGAAAATAATGGCACAATCGGTGCATAGTATCGGGTATCTTCAGAAGCCAGACCGAAGTTGGACGGTATCCAGTGAAGAGTCCTTGAGGCTACTAATGGATACCCACTTCCCAGGCAGCTCTGAAAGCCATACTGCAGAATATACTCAAGACAGTGGAGCAGAAATGAGCCCCACTCTCATAAACATAGTGTCAGAAAGCAACGTACGCTGGGCAATAAACAGCTTTAAGCCCTTCAAGTCGCCGGGATCAGACGGTATATTCCCGGCTCAATTGCAGCAGTCGCAGAATCACATAATGAATTGGCTAATTGCCATCCTTAAAGGGGTGCTGCAATTAAACTATATCCCTACACTTTGGAGGGAAGTCAAGGTAATATACATACCAAAGGCAGGCAAAAGCTCGCATACAAGTCCAAAGGACTTCAGGCCGATTAGCCTCTCCTCTTTCCTTCTAAAAATCCTGGAAAGACTTATAGAATTACATATTAGAAACAAACTGAAACCGGAAAAGTTGGCTGGTTCACAGCATGCGTATTCTAAAGGAAAATCCACAGAAACAGCACTAAGCTCTGTGGTGGCGGAGATTGAAAAATCTCTGGAAGCCAAAGAATACACTCTATTTGCCTTCTTAGACATAGAAGGAGCCTTCAATAATATCCAGCCTAGGGCCATACTGAGTGCGCTTAAAGATCTGGACATCTCTGAACCTCTCAGGAAATTAATTGAACAGATGCTCTTGAGCAGGTCAATAATTTCAACGATGGGAGCGTCAACGATGTGCAGATCTGTCCAAAGAGGTACGCCTCAAGGAGGCGTGTTATCCCCACTTCTCTGGGTCCTGACAATGAATAAGTTGCTGGTGGATCTAGAGAAGAAGGGGGTACATGTAGTGGCCTACGCTGACGATGTGGCAGTATCGGTCAGAGGCAAATTCCCGAATACTCTCGCAGACCTTATGCAAACGATATTGGACGATATAAATCGCTGGGCAGTATCGTGCGGATTAAATTTAAATGCTGGTAAGACAGAGATCGTATTGTTCACCAGAAAACATATTACTCCAGAAGTTACGGCGCCAATAATAAATGGTTGCAGACTAACAATTGGAGATAAGGCAAGCTACCTGGGACTAATCTTAGACAGGAAGCTCTCATGGAAACAAAACTTGGATGCTAGGGTGAAGAAGGCAGCCACAGCACTCTACACCTGTAAAAGGATGGTGGGCCCCAAATGGGGACTTACACCTCGGGTAACTTATTGGCTCTATACAGCAGTAGTCAGACCAATCATGACATACGGTATATTGGTATGGTGGCCAGTAATGGAAAAGAAATACGCGGTAAAGCGTATGGAAAGCATACAGAGAGCAGCCAGCATATGCATTAGTGGAGCTCTTAGAACAACGCCAAGTCAGGCTCTTAACGTCATTCTACACTTACTGCCAACAGACCTGTTCTGTAAACAAGTGGCAGCAAAGTCAGCTCTTAGACTGAGGGAATCCTCCCAACTAGTCGCATGCGACAAGGGGCATTCAAGGATACTCAGTATATTCCCGTTTCTACCCAAAACCACGGATTTCCGTAATCCAACAGAACGGATGCTAAATTCGGTCCACAATATTGCCTACCCCACAAGAGAGAAGTGGAAAAGGGGCGAGGTGGACAGGAATACAGAAATTAGCATCTACACGGATGGATCCAAACTGGATCATAGAGTGGGAGGTGGTGTCTTTTGCGCAGCATTAAACACCAAAATTGCCTTCCGGTTGCCAGACCACTGCAGTGTCTTCCAGGCGGAGATCACAGCAATTAAAGAAAGCCTAGTGGTATTGACAAAAAGTGTGCTCACAACAAGGAGCATATATATATACACGGATAGCCAAGCGGCCTTGAAATCACTCAAGTCTCCAATGGTTTCATCCAAGCTAGTGAAAGATTGTCTTGATCTATTAGAGGATCTGACATCCTACTTCACAATAAACCTGCAATGGGTTCCAGGACATAGCGATATTCCTGGTAACTGCGAAGCAGATGAACTAGCCAGAACAGGCACCACTTCGCAACTAACCCCTGAAAAAGAGAGTATCTTTATGCCTCTGGCAACTTGCAAACACCTAATCGGCGAATATGCTATAAATATAGCTGAGTCTCGGTGGAGACAATCAATAACCTGCACAACCAGCAGACTAACGTGGCAGGAATGGAGCGTGAATCGCACAAACCGACTACTAAAATTTAAAAGGAGTGATATAAGAACTCTGATAGGAGTACTAACAGGTCACTGCCTAATTGGCAGACATGCAAGTAGGCTAGGTGTACCATACAACGACTATTGTAGAAGCTGTCAGGAAGCAGAGGAAGAGGAGACTGTAAAGCATCTTCTATGCGAATGTAAAGCTCTATATAGGAAAAGAATCGCAACTATCGGTCGTGGATTCCTTGACGACGTATCAGAAGTTGCTAATATAAAATTATTTGTACTGATGAACTTCATCAGGAGCACAGGTTGGTTCAGGGAGGAGACGATAGAGTGAGGGAACATTAGTCCCGGTGGTATCACAATGGGCCTCCTATAGGCCTAGGTGCGTCATTGGACAGCCACTCTACCTACCTACCTACCTACTCATTTTCATTTTTATGTTTTTGTGATGCAAATTTGTGTGTGTGTGTGTATACCGCATGCAATATTGCATCCAAAATCATTACCGTTAAGTAAACGGAACAAACGTTGCGCGCATGCAACAAAACAAATAGCAAACAACACAATTTTATTGGCCGCCTGCATTATCGATTGTGTGGGCTGTCTGCTGTATATAAAGGATTTATCATCACTTTTTCTTATGTCTTCACTTCTCTTGTTTCGCCTGTGCACTCAATGCCACGACGATTATTATCCGAAGTGATGAATGGCAGTGATAGGAAAGTGGCTTTCATTGCATGCCATATTGCCATATTTTTTCACCAAGCCAATAGGTTTATATTCTTACGAGTATGTAACATACTTCTATGAGCTGCAAAATAAGATGAGATTATTTAGAAATAGTATATAGTTTTAAAAAAGTTTAGTTCAGAATTATACAAAGTGTTTTCTATAAATTTGGAAACAATATTTTTTATTTCTTATTACTATAGGTTTACCGGAAGATTATATATCAAAACGATATTCTTAAAGCTCTTTATTTGTTGTAGAACATATAGTGTAGTTAGATTTCAAAGGTTTTTGTGCCGTTTTAAGGCGCTATCTTATCAAGGGTTGCTTGATATTTGTGGATTATTCTTGTGGACTTGATCTTAGAAATATAATATATGTTGGTAACAACCCAACTCTGCCGGGCAAATGTGACTGCTAACATATTTACCCAATTTAATACGCAAATGTGTTTTATGTGGTATGTCATAGCATTCTACTGAAGCCAAATATCTCCGAAGTCCATGGCCAATTTCCATACCATTCCAAACTCTCTTTCTGAGTCTTTCTTTCTTTCAAGATGACTATATTTCTCTGGTTTTCCGATCTCTTTAAAGATTAGCTAGCTAGTGATTGGTATGGCTTCATCGCTTACCTTATGGTTACACCTCATTTCGAGAGAACTGTAAATAACTATTAGAAGAATTAATGGACTCACTATGGCCTCAGAATTGATTACATAGATACAAAATCATCGCCTTTAAACATACTCTTCGAAAACTAAAGTCCAAATACAGAAAAAGTATCAAGAGCGAATTCCAGTGCATAGTTTTTCTCTCGATTACCTAAAATTATTTTTTATTTTATTCAACGTTCTTTTCATATTTATACTCTTCCTCGCATTAACTATCTCTCATTTAATGGTATAGTAGATACTTGAGAAGTTGTGCTTATAACAGCTAAATCGACTTTAATTTCCAACATAAAAACTTTAAAACCAGTTTGGGAATAAATTTAGTAGATATCCTCCATCGTGTTTTATAAACAAGATCGAGAAAAATTAACCTAAAACTACAAAATTGGTTGC